TTTGATATGCTCATCGCTTGCTATGTTCTCACAATGGCATTATTCCATTATTCACTGCTTATTTATTGTCTCTTATAGACAATAAATAGAGAAGCTTTAGATTCATAGCAAAACTGATCAGAAAGCAGTGTTCCCATATATTAACCTTCATTACCATCACTCACACCAGAGTGGTAAATTTTTTTATAACCCATGAACCTACATTGACCCACAATTGTCACCTCAAGTTCATCATTTAAGGTTCATTTTTGCCATTGCACATTCTGTTAATTTTCACAACTCACAAACAACACATATCTAATGAAAAATATCCAACACTGTAATATTACATAGAACAGTTTTGTTAACCTCAAACTCTCCTGAACTCCTCCTATTCATTTCTCCCATCAATCTATTGTGAAATATTATATTAGGCATTGGGACAGTACTGGGGTTATAGAGATAAGTAAGTAGATTATAATCCTTGGCTCCACTATGGTCTAATATGGAAGATTCAAAAATAAATCAAAGAAATAATGGATCTAGGAAATAAGTGCTATAAATCAACATACATAGAATATTATAGGAAGTCAGATAGGTAAATGTCCAATCATATGAGAGGGACTGAGAATCTTTGGGAACAAGTGATAAAACCAAAGTTAATTGAAGGACTATCAGGAATTATGTAAAGAAGATAGGGAAAGGCATTCCTTACAGAAGTGAACAGAATATATAAAGATTGGGAGGCCTAAAAATTGGAATGACTTGGGTCATTCCACATTGAGAAAGTATAGAAAGCTAGAGGCCTGTGTAATGGTAACATCAAAAAAGACCTATAGACCATGTTGAGGTGTTTCCATATTGAATAAGTTTAGAATTTTCAGGAAAATTTTATGTAGGGGAGCAACAGTGTTAGAATTTAATTTTAAAAATCTCTCATGATTAAGTAGAAACATAATAAAGTTGGGTTGATATGGGATCAACTCTCATTTCAACTCCCTTCTGTTATATCCTCTTGTTCTATAGGGATTGGAAAAGAGCACTTACATTTCCCAGATTTCATTGCAACTTAAATTAGGGCCCATCTCATATTCATGTTCAATTACACAAAACAGATGTGAAACAGAGTTATATGGACAAGAGGTAGACCATGGTACTGGGTAGAAAAATAGGAGAAGTGATGTAATTCTGGAGCTGGAACTATTGTCACTGAGATAGTCCTAGGACTGGTCTATTGATTCAGCCATGAGTCCACAAGAATAGATGCAAAGCAGGGCAGAAACTCCTTTAGAGATCCAGATTTGCGTTATAATCCTTTTTGGCTCTCTTAATCATACTGTGAACTACTCACTCATATCATTTAATAATTCCTGTATATACATAATAAGGCAAGGAAGAATCTCTTGCTTATAGCTATGAACCCTGATCAAATTGGGGAGAATGTAAATTAAAGAAGTGGCAGCAGAATTTGATAGGTGGATAAAGATATAGATCATATTACGAGATCATTGATCATTGTTCATATGGAATTACTTTTTAAACATGCAATGAAATCTATCGATTATATGTATATATCCTTTTTTGCTAAGTTAAATTGCTAAAAAGAGTTCACTAGTAATTTTTTGCTTTGGCTTATAAATATAGGTTATATAAAAAGAAGGAATTTTCTTTCAATTCTAGTCCTTCTACACAAAATTATAATAAGTTTCAGACACCACAAAAATTGTCTAAATGCTAGTATAACTCAAAGATGTCAACACACCCAAAAAAAAATGTTATTAGCTCTTTGGAAGTGCAGAAAAAGACTCATAAATATGGTTAATAGTATATAAGCTTTATTTCTATGTAATTTATAAAAATAAACAAATGAGGCTGTCTTGTAAAAAAATGATCCCCTGTAAGACTGCTGCAAAGTTATTGAATGAGATTTATCAAATTGTAATTGCAGCCACATGGATCAGATAATATTGTTTGTATGATTCAGTTCAAATAAAACAATGGTACTAGTTTCCTATTTTGAAGATGAATGTGAATAGCTTTCAATGTGATTTTGTTTTAAAAAATCTTTGCAAACTGAGAGGTGGTTGTCACTATAGTGAATAACACTTTCTGGTTTTGGAGATATTTTACCTAGGAAGAAGTATTCATAATGCGTGTACTTCATACATTAGGATTTGAAGTAGATTTATTTCATATTATGGTAGATTTCTTTGTTTTATAGGAAGAAAATAAAAACAATTAATTATATAACCAATTCTCCTAGCATCTTTTACTCAGGGTTCTTAATGGTCATAAAAAGGAGCTTCTTTAACTAGTTTAAGCAGAATGCAAATGTGTTATGGTGAGTAAGGTGGCTTAAAGGAACTTCTGCAGGGTTGGGAGGCTACACTGCCATGCCCTGCTGCTGGTGGACTCACCATGTTCCTAACTTGCTACTGGATCCAGAAATGCAGCTTGTAACTTACCATGTGCTCCTACTGAGCCTTCTCAAAGTAAATGAATGCCTATTACTATATATTGTCACCATGTTCCTAACTTGCTACTGGATCCAGAAATGCAGCTTGTAACTTACCATGTGCTCCTACGGAGCCTTCTCAAAGTAAATGAAATGAATGCCTATTACTATATATTCCCCTTGGATGAATGAATTCTGCCCTACAACTTCCTCATATTAGTCTTGCTGTAATAAGCTGGTGTACAGGACCCTGCAGCACTTACTGAGGCCTTGATTAAAAGGAACCCAGGTGAGGTATTTCCTGACTTTTCTTTTGGGGATATGGAGACTTTATGGTAGAAAGTTCCTGTGCATTGCAAGGGTGTACATTGTTTTTATGTAGTCTGGTAAAGAAAACAATCAGTCACAGACAGGCAGAAATAATTCCCCCCGAATTTCCAGTCAACTTCATTTGATCTTCACATATTAAATCAAAATTTAAAGCATCTTAGGAGTGAGAAACTAATTCAACAGTGGGGTGGCCCTTTGATAATGTGATATCAGTTATTTTACCTTCATGATATGAATTTTCATAGCAAGTAAAGATATGCCTAATATGAAATAGTCAAGATCTAGAATACTTGATGAAACAATGGAATGTGAAGGAAAGATCTTTAAAGAATATTTCCAGATGCCATTTGTGTATTTCACCTTTTAACAAAGCAATCTGGGAGTTTTAGATTGATTTTTTTCTTCTTATGCAAACTTTGTAAAGAGAGCAAGGGATAGCAATAGGAAGGATTAAGTAGATGGACCCAATGCTTGTGTACTCTGAGGGTGATGGAAATTAATGATCCTTGAGAAGTTGTGAGTGGGAGGTGGGTGGGAAGAAAAAAAAAAGAGAAATAGTGACTAATGCAGGAGAAATGCAAATGACTGGAATTCATATCCTTCAGTGAAGGAGATACAAGGAGAGGTAATGTTAATTTTCTTCAGGTTTCTCTTGGAGAGAAAAAATAAAAAAAGTATTTAGTGGGGATCAGTGTGCCCAGTTGTGAACAATAAAAAACAAATTTGATACCTTTGGGAGAAAAGATATTTATTAGAAACATGTTGGATAGCTTACTGAAAAATCAGGCTTGGGAAATAGTCAAGAGCCACAAAATTTTGGGCAGCTTCTTACCATGGACAATTTCACAGATCAGAAGAGTCTGGTAGGATGCCACTGGTACTGCTGATGGATGACACTTGCCAACATTTTCCTGGACACAATTGTACCATCCTTGTATAAATAATTAGACATCCCTACAGCTTACATCTCCTGCTGAGGATTCTAGGTCTTCCAGCTGAGGCCACATTCTCTGGCAGTAGCTTCTGGGTACTTTTGATTTTCATGGTAGGAAATGAGACTGTGTTTCCTACCAAGATCTGCAAAGAGATATTCCTTTCTTCATATAGGAAGGTTGATGAGATATCATATAATTAAAAGCAACAGCATCAGGCTTAATAAAGATCCACTACTTAGAGGCCAACAGACCTCTGATGTAAGAAAAACACCATTTTGGGCTTCTACAATCATGGATCAGCTTGGTCCAAGTTGGAGGAGAATTTGAACTATGGCCTGCCTGCTCGGAAAGGCATCCTCTCCAGAGCAATGTGGATAGCATGCGCTTGTGTGAGTCAGCTGGAATTATAGCTGTCTTTCAGGAAGGTGACTGGGAGAAGTAGAAAGAGTACCATTGAGAGCAATTCCATATGATTTTGGGAAAAAATCATTTCATAATTAAATCATGATTAGGGCCTAGTTTTCCTGTCTACAGTCCAGCTATGGCATGTGGAGACATAACTCCATCTTTGCCTCTGGTCACAGATAAGAACTCAATGGTCCCTTGATGCTGTGATGCTGTGATGCTCCAGGGCAGGATTACACCAGCTGGAGACATCCTGCGAGGAACCAAATCTTCATCTGCATAATTCCTCATTGTTCTAGGATCATACCTCGGCCCTCTGATATTTTGTTTTGCTGATGTTCTGAATAAAGGTGTGGTAAACTCTAGGTCTGGGGTCTTTGCCACCCAGAGCAGCATGGATCAGGACAAAGCTCAGCTTCTCTGTCTCATCTTATGTCTATTTATTGATTAATTTGCTTTGTGCTGTCATGGATCGCAGGAGACTAGAGGACCTGGTGCAGAGGTTCTAGTAATGTCCCCTTTCCCTGTTCCCTACAGAGTGTTGTACCCAGATCGCAGTTTCCCCAAGGACCACCAGAAAAACGAATCCGCTGCAATCACAAGAGAAGTTTATTACAGGTTTGAATCCGGACCCTTGTCCACTAGGGAGCAAGAGTCCAGAATCACGACTACAACAGGGTTATATAGGGTTAAGGAGGCTTGAAAATCTTAACTTTCTTATTGGCTCATTTTTACAATTCCTGCTGATTCTATTGGCCTATAATTCTAACTTACTATTGGATATTATAAAATGTAATACTTCAAACTGATTGGCTACTATTTGGGCACGGGCAGGGGTTTGCGCGGGAGATTTATCTTAGTCATCTAATTGCCACAGCTGGTTTCGCCATACTTTGACCTGGCTGCAGTTTCTGGAATAAACCGCCCAGTTGGGATTCCTGGAAACTGCTCATTTGGAATTCCTGAAAAACATGGTTTTTGGTTAATCTCTTCTTCGACAATGGAAGGCTATCTGCAGAGTTTAAAGGTCAGCCTGAATAATGGAGCATCTAATCTGATTTAGCTAAAACGGAAGGACTTTGGCCTCTTTGGGTTCCTCACAGAGTAGTGCAACATGCTCAAAGTAGACACAGGCTACAGAACAGGGTATGATGTCCTTAGCCATGAACAGCAGTGCAGCTGGTGAACTGGCAGGGACAAAGAGGACTTGGGGATTTCAGGATTTTGCTGCTTATGGGTTTTATTGTTAACATAGAATCACACAAACCTCTTTAATTATCTCCACAGGACCAGTGGTCAGCCATGTTGTCTCTATTTCTCTCTTTTCTTTCTCTTTTTTCCTTTCTCTTAGGAAAAATGGCTCTATGATTTTTTAAAAGTGACATAGGTCGTTATAAAGAACTCAAACAATATAGAAATTACCTGACAAATGTTAGCCATTATCCTAATTCCACAGTATGGAAAAAAAAATCATTAACATTGGTGAATATGATCTGGGCATCTCTTTGCATCCATATATATTGCTAAAATGATAGCTATGTAAGTAGAAATAATTTTAGGAAAATACAATTATACTAAACATGTGACAAAAATAAAATTTATTTATTTTAATTTAACCCAAGAAATAATATGTGAAAGCATCACAGGATTTTAGTTATCATTCTTCAGGCATAAAATCTTTTAGGTAAACATTTAAGTTGGAAGTAATAAATTTAGGGCCGGGGATTTAGCTCAGCTGTTCGGTGGCCTGCCTTGCATGCGCAAGGACCCGAGTTCAATCCCCGGTACCAAAAACAAAAAAACAAACAAACGAAAGTAATAAATTTAAATACACTTTTGTAAATAAATATATATTATTGACAGAAGATATCATGATAAAACAATGCATTTGTATAAGCAAACTGTACAACTGTAATGCAGATCACAGTGTAGAACATCTTTAGCTTCTTAGTTAATGCTGTGGTCCTAAACATAAACTTCTCTACAACTTATGTCACTGAAGGTCAATTTTTTCTGCTTTTGAATTTCATAGAAATAAAATTATAGGGCCTGGGATTTAGGGCCTTGAATTTGATCCCTGGTACCAAAAACAAACAAACAAACAAACAAACAATTACAGCAGATATAGTCTTTGGTGTTAGGCTTCCTACACCTACTGTTAATATCTGGGATTTATCCATAGTATCAAATACAGGAATAATTCAATTGTTTACATTACTGCAACATTCTTTCCTTTGAGTATCATACTAGGATTAATTTGTTCATTGTGCTGTTGGAGCATTGGGTTGTTCCTAGTGTTTGCCTGTTATGAATAGAACTGCTGTTAACATTGTGGTTGTTTGGTGCCCGATAGAGTTCCCTGCTAGATAAAATGACCCTAACTCCACATCCTAAATGGCTCTTCCTAGTAGATAATAGATCACTCTGGGAAAACAAAGACCCAACTTTCCCACCACAAAGTCCTTCTTCTAGTCCTTCCCACTGGGAAATTTAAACTTGCCAATGGATTTAAACCTCACCTCTGGCTTCAGCCAAACATGTACCTCCACTATGATTCCTCCGCTTAGGACCCCTTGCAGGTATAAAACCTCACCCAGCCAGACCTTCCCTGATGTTCTCATTGTCCGAGATAGCCTGGAACCCCCAATAAAGTCTAGTTTCGGGTGTTTGTGTCTCCGACTCAGTTCCCATCTCAGTGCCTTCATGGTCTCATTTTTCTGGGTATGTACTTAGTTTTGACATTGCCAGTACATGTGACTCTGCCATATAGTTTTACTAAGTGGCTGTACTTCTGTATGTCCCCATCCTAATTGGTCCACATATTCACTAACACTTGGTAATTTAAAGAAAATATCATCCTGGTGGATTGTAGCATTACCACATTCTGGTTTCTACGTTCATTTTTATGGTGAGAGTTGTTGAATATCTTTTCATATAGCTACTGACTATTTTGATTTGGGTGTTCTACTTTTAGGAAGTACCTTTTCAAATCTTCTGAACTTTAACAACAACAACAACAAATAATTAAAAAGGAAAGCTATGTGTAGCTCAGATTTGCTTATGACCAAGGCCCTGGGTCTAATCCCAAGCACAGTAAAAAAAGTAAATAAAAATCTGTCTTTCCTCCTTATTGATTTTTAAAAGATTTATATATTCTTAATACAAGTCCTTTAGCTGACAGTTTAATATGAATGTCTTTTTACATAACTTTTTCAAATATCATACTTATAGAATTTAATAGGAACATGAGACTTAACTATTCCATTTACAACTAAAGAAATAGACCTGGAAAGTTTAAATGATGTGCTCAATGTGGTACTATAGTGACTCAGAGATAAGAACCAAGATGATCAGGATCATCTTGTTTCATCCTTTTTTATTTTTAATAAATTCTTTACAGCAAAATCCAGTCTACAAATATTAGTCTACAATTATTTAGGTCTATTTTTTGTAATTCATTAGTCCAGATTTGGAGGATCACATGAGACTTACTTTTAATCTTACACTGAAGACATAGAGATCTTGTGTTTTTCCAAGGAAGAAAAATATAATCCAACAAACAGCTTTAACATTTTATTTACTTGATCGATGGAATAAAACAAGTATTTTCTTAAATAGCAAAATTTTCTTTAAGCAATGGCTGTGTAGTTTGTGATTGTTGCTGATAGTGCTTTATATATACAACCTTCAAGGGGAGAGGTGGTCTCAAAACTAGATCTTAGGACACAGTTCGCTCTGGCAGAGTGTTATAGCAAAATGTTTTAGGGTTTCCCTCAACCCTCAAAGAAATTGACTGATGCTCACTTCTTGCTACTATTAGGGATTTACAAGTGTCTGTAACCTGATTTTTAGTGAGACTTATCAGGAAATAAAGATCTATAAACAGAAAAATAACTGTCAGTGAAAATGAACTCATAGGGAAACACTAGATTCAGAGGAACAAGTCTGGATCATTTGGTCCATCCTAAATGGGCCTGTGGAGTAACTGAAGGCATTAAAACAGCTTTGAATGAATATTGTGTGAGAAAAAAATCTAAATGCAGTCTACAGATCTGTTGCCATGAGCCTGCTTTTCCTGACATCTGGGGTATGATCACGAGGCCATTATGTTATGAGTGGACAGACAGTGGGAGCCCATGTTGTGTTGTAGTTAGTGGTTATTTTATTTGGTGATTATACTGGTGTGTGTAATTCATCACCCTTGCAAAACCATCTCTGCAGGGATTAAATTTCCTCATGGAAGATCAAGATTGGAACTGTTTATAGCAAAAGCAGACAGGGCTGAGGTGACCCTCTGTGTGGTACTGTGGCACTGCTTCCTTCTCCAGGAGACTAAGTTGTTTACCATCTGTTCCTGGAGATGGGCTCAGGTCCCTTACAGATTGGTATAAAGAAAAGGCAGTGCATTCACAGGCTTAGTAATTTATTAGGCTGAGAGCCCAATATTACAATCTCAAGGTGGGATACTTCCTTCAAAGACAACTTAAAAAAGTAAGAATGGGTAATTTTTTTCATCGAAAATACTCAACTACAGTAATTTTTTTTAAAGCAAAGTACACACCAAAAGCTTAAGTGTATGACTAATTCTTCTTTGTGCAAAATTTCTGGAGATGGTGTCCAACAGAGATGTGAGGAAAATGCACTATCTCTAGTAACTGAGAAGAAAATAAAGAAAATGTCCTCTGGAAACTACTACATGACTTGGAAATGATCTTAGTGATAATAATGATGACAATGATTATAAAAATTACATATGAAGAGCTTGAATAAACAGTTTGAAGCAATGTAAGGGCAGGGGGAAAAAGCAATGTTTTAAAATCGCCATGTTAATTTTCATTTTTACATAATGTGTGATCTTAAGAATATATGTCAAGTGAATAAGTTACAGTCATGTAATTATTTATTTCATCTATAGTCCTAAAAGATTACATAACCAAAATCTTTTCATTTGGAGGACTTTTCATAGGGAAAATTGGGTCATTTGACATTTGGTATTATCTTCTATTTGGACATAGTCGCTTTTCATACTTTTTCAAAGTTCAGTCTGAGAAGAGAATTCTACAAGTGACTCTCTAACCCCACACGTAACTCCTCTTCACAAGTAACTCTCTTTACCCCACAGGTAAAGAAGAGAGCGCATTGACTTGAATCGAAAAACAACTGACCAACATATGGTCTTGTTTCTGCTACCACCATGTGCTGACAAATTTAAGTCGTATCAGTTGCACACAGCTACAGTTAAACTCTGGGGTCAATATGCGTTCTGCTTCACCACCTGATGTTATGGGCTCCTTTCTAGTTTTTGTGAGAGCAATATCAAAAATTTCGGAGAACAAAAAGAAGACAATTACAAAAAAAAAAAAATCCTAGCTTTCTACAAGATCCAATTTTGCCAAGGTATAACAGGTAAATATTCAGTTACAGAAAAAAGAAGTCAGAATTTGAGATCTGAGAAATTTGTTTCTGTGACTAATCAGCACTGAGGTCTTGAATATATTTCTTTCTAAAACAGGGAAATAAAGAGTGTTGTACTCAATAGTTCTAAAATCACTTCTTGACCTCAGATTCTCGGCTCTGTTAAGGAGAAAATTGTTTACAAAACACTGGATTTAATACAAGACGATCTTGATTGCAGTCCTGTTCTGTCCCTAACTGATGTGAGTGTAGAGAAGTAATTACCTGATGGCATTTTTGTAAGACAGATTTTAAGCTGCCTCATGAATCCCAGAAAGTGTATTCTCTTCATCTCTTATGCCACATATTTTGTGCTTGACCTTCCATTAATTCTCATTTCAAAATTTGTTCCTTTGTGCCAGCCACTTGTATTCTGTTGGATATGAAGAAAAGTATCATTTGGTTTTGTGCAGAAAATTTCAGAGTTTTTAAAATGTAAAAACAATTAGTGATACTATTGAAGTTGGCACATTTGGATGCATGTGTGGTAGGTTGGAATAATAGCCCTTTCCACATTTTATCATTTTGCAGTTCCCTTGAAATTAAGCCTTTCATCACCATAACAACCCACAATCCATAACAAACATTAGATTGTTATTGGGAAAGGTAAATGGAGCAAGCCTGCCAATCTCTGCACATGTTTTATAATTTTTAAAATGAAGATTGTCTTCATTTAGATCACTCGGCAAATGCTACATGTAGAGGTTTCTCATGAACTCTTAAAATTTCCAGTTAGGTCCCAGGACTTTTTGCATATCTTGGTACAAATGATACCTCTTCTATCTTCATATATAGAAGATATACTAGGTACTGATATATATACTTTTTTTTTTTTTTTTTGGTACCGGGGATTGAATTCAGGACTTTGTACTTATGAGATAGGCAAGGTGCCTCTGCTATAAGTATAAAAGCAAAGGCTACAATTTTAAGCCCAAAGCAAAGCAATCAGAACAGAGATTAGGAACATAGACTCTTGACTAGAGTGCCTAGGTTCATAGCTCAGTGTTGCTGTTAGCTTCATTTTAAGCACATTACTAAATTTCTCTGGGACCCAGTTTCTTTAACTAGAAAGTGAAGATAATAAAAATTCCTTCTTCACAGGATTGTCCGGGAAATTAAATAAGTTAATTCTCTATTAGAGCACAATATACTAGGTATGGCAGGTTGGATTCCAAATTCTGGCCTCATAGGCAGGATTTCTGTATATCTCACCTATTCTGCCTGAAGTCTTCACACACACACACACACACACACACACACACACACACACACTGCTATATTATTTTTATATTTACCCACCATCTGGCTACATAACCAGTATTCCTCCTTCAAGAGTTGAGTCATTGCTAAGGTTTTCTAGGAGCACTCCCATGACTGTGTTCTCTTCAGAACCATGTCCCTACACACATCATCATCATCATCATCATCACTGTTGCCATGCTAAGCTATGGGCTTTTGCAGTATTCTGCTAGCCTCAAGGGTATACCTCCACCCTTACCATCTTTCTCTGACATTACAATCGTGGTTTCATGTCTTAGTCTGCCTCAAAAGATCACAATATCTTTAGAAGGCAGGAAGGCACCATGTCATCTTTATATTTATCTCTAGAGCCTGCAGGAGAGGGAAAAGCTTTTTTTCTTTACCTTCTGAAATAAACTGAGGGTAGAAAAATCAACAAGAGCAAAACCTGTGTATACATATGCGAATCCCACAACATAAAAGGCTCAAAGAAATTGAAGTTTACACAGCATCCTAAATACAGCACTTGAACAGGAGCTAGGGGTTCTGGGGGAGAAGTTGAGGCAAAGACTTTCTGTTAGGCAGACAAAAAAGTCTCCCAGGTAATAGAGGAACTTTCAGAGCAATTCCCCTATCTCATTTTACTAATGTAGATTTCATTTAGAGATGTAAATGTCTTTCACAAAAGAACAGGGTTTAAGAGCCATTCTACTTTCTACAGTTTCTCAAAACAATGAGCTTAAACTATGTCAAAGAAGTATATTTTGGGGTGCTTTATTGTACAGTCCAACATGCTTCCCTTAGACCAGGTTCACAGTTTATAAAGATAAGAGAGACAGCCAAGTGTAGTGGTGCACACCTGTAATCCCAACACTCTTGGAGGCAGAGACAGCAGGACCTCAAGTTTGATGCAACTTAGTGTGTTAGCAAGACCTTGTTTTAAAATAAAAAAAGAGAAAAAGACTGAGGATGTAGCTTAGTTGGGAGGGCCTAGGTTAATATTCCAAGGATGGGGAAGGAAAGGAAATGTGAAAGAACAGAGAAAAGAAGTCCGGTGCCTGGGTACATGGAGGGACCAGGAGCAGAAGTGAGAAATCTTAGGGGACAGACATCTGAGGCAGGGGGATAATGAGTTCAGAGAAGGGCAGCTTTGGTCCCAGGCTCCTGTAGAACATTCATTGTAGGAAATAAGGGCTAGAATTAAGAAAAAGTTAGGCTCAAAGAGGCTAAATATAAGATTCATCCAAATATGTATGAGATCTAAAAATCTTGAGAATGATGATTTTGTTACTGGATAATATAATTGAGAAAAAAACCCCACAGAAAATGAATCATTAAGCTCAAACTTTTGAGGTAGAAGTTTCTCTGAAATAAAAGAGTTTTGGGGACAGGTTCTGTAACCACCAGCAGCAAGGCTGCATAGCAGTTGGAAATATATCCTCTGAACTTAAGAGCTGCAGTGCAAATTTGTGAAAGGAAAACAAATTATTCACATGGACCCTACATTAGCTGTATATGTGAAGAGAGGGCAAAGTTTTGGGATAGGAAGACACTCTAACAAGACGTATGTGTTTCTGTGAGTTGGTTGGGATTAATGATCTGGCTAAAAGTCAGCTGAGGTGATACATGTGAGTTAGGTATTTAGGTTTCAGTATGTTCAGAAAAGTGGAATAATCTTGTTAGTTTGTCCCAATGCTGTTAACTATCCTCCTCCCCTTTGTCCTATGACTCTTTTAATTAAATTTAGGACATCTCAGTATTTCTCTTTTATTAGGATGTTAGGGAATGTCTCATCCTAGTGCAGTAATCAAATAAGGAGAATGAGAAGGACCAGAAACAGACAAAATAAAAAAACAAGAGATATAAGATATCCTAGAAGTCAAGCAAGTGGTAAGATCAAAGCAGTGATCAACAGTATCAAAGAGGTATTTATTAACTGAAGAAACTTTGAGCATCAAATATGTTCTAGGTATTTACCAAGTTCTGGGATAAAACAGTTGCAAGGTCTCTGCTATAGTTTGGATCTGAAACATCCCCCAAGCATGTCGGTCCCCAATCTGTGTTGCTATGGGAAGGAAGTAGAAACATTAAACAGTGGGGCCTCCTAGAAGGGAGTTAGGTCACTGAGGTCACACCCTTGAATGGAACATTGGGATGTTGGCCCCATCTGGTCTCTCTCTTTGCTTCCCAACTTCGGGAAAGGAGCTGCTTTGCTCAAGATATTCCCCAAAGCAATGGAGCCAACCAAACATGTACTGAAACCTCTGAACCATGGGCAAAACTATACTTTGCGTCAGTATTTTGTCACATTACACAAAGCTGACTAACACAGTCTCTGTACTCAGGAGAAGTTAAATAGAATATAGAGTCGGCTGAGGAGTAGAAAGAGACACAACAAAACACAATAATGAGGAACAAAGTGAGGTGAGAAAGGAGATAATTTACTTCATATTTATTGAATTGTTTTGCTTTTTTATGGTGGTGGGGATTCAACCCTCAGTGTCTTCCCATTAAGCTATACCTCCAGCGCTTCTTTAAATTTTGTTTTGAGACAGGGTCTGGCTAAGTCCCTAAATTGCCTGGGCTGAGCTCAGATTTGTGATCTTCCTGTCTTAGCTTTTTAGAGTGCTGAGATTATAGGTGTGTACCATCATCCCAAGCTATATTATTTATTTTTTTGCAGGAGGAAGAGAGATTTGAATATATTCCATGACTGGAGGGAAATAGGCAGAGATCAGGCAGAGAAGCGAGAAAGAAGTTGTGAGCAAGAGATAGGGTGGGTTTGGAGGACAAATTGGGAGGATGCAATCAGGAGCACTCCTCTGAGGCAGAAAGGGTAAGGACTCTGAGAGAATATTAAATTCTCAGCCAGAGGAAGGAGAAGTTAAAACATTTCTTATTGGATAGAAGTGATTGTGCAAAGCAAAAAGCTGGTTGTCTGCAGAGCGAGAGGGCCAGGTGGGTTAAAAAAGAAGGAATGAGCCTGGATTTAGCTCAGTGGTTCTATCACCTGCCTCGCAAGCACAAGGTCCTGAGTTTGATTCCCGGTGCAAAAAGAAAAGGAATGAGCTACAGAGCTATGGAGTCATGAGCTTTGATTAGGATCTCTGTTAGAGATCATTGTTGAATAGCCTGGAAACTGGAGAGGCCAGTTTGTGAAGTGGATCAAGTGGGCACTGCCAGGCACAAAAGTAATCTTGAAAGATTATTTTTAAAGAAGGGATAAAAAGCCAGAAGTATATTAGACATGTGCATTTTATAGATATATTTGAAATAGTTTTATCCTGGATTCAGTTTGACATGCAGATCTTCTGGTTGACTTATTGAAATGGAAATGCCATCCCTGTAGTTACTGAACAAAATCAAAACAAGGTCAGGTGTGGCTGCAGGCAGTGACCACATAGCACTGTCTTCAAAAGACAAATTACTGCTTTTGAAAGCTAGGTTATAATGAAGCGGGAAGCCAACTTCCTTAGGACAAGGTGGGCTTTTTAGCATGAATGGTCCACAATTCTGCTCTGTAGGAAGGGAATTCCTTCTGCAACTTTTCTTACTGTGTAGCCTCCAGCAATTAAGATTTGGATATCTTATTTCTGTGTGGAAATCATGATGAGCTCTAGAAGAGGTGCATAAATGCAGGCTGGGGCATTTTTCCACTCTTTTCTGTTGCCTGCCTACCCAGCTCTGATTCTTCTTCTTAAAGTGCTGATGGTGTTGATCCTAGAGGCACATTTGGTAGCTGGTAGGGCCACTGTGTACAATCCTCCTTTATTTAAAGGAAGCCCAAATTTTTTATTCTCTCTCTTCTGTCTCTGGAAATGATATGGTCATTACCTTGGCATTAATTCTTCAGAACACACCCTCTTAAATTGGAGGAAAAGAAAGTGGAAAACTTTACTAAATCCTTCAGGATTAAGCTGCACTCAGATTTCACTAGAGAGCTTTACTTCAGTAGATTTCTGCTTTGTGTTTTCTTGGCTATACTGCAGATGCAGCCCAGGGCCGCACACATATGCTAGACAACTGGTCTACCATTGAGCTACATCTCTTGCCCTATTTTAGTTCTTTCTTTTGGAAAAAAAGAGGGCATCTACATTTTTCCCAATTTGGCTAGTGTTCCTTGTATATACTTGTTTTCAGAAGTGTTTGAAGAGGAAGGGAGTGTTAGTTATGGGTCTTTTGAGAACATTAGGAAGGGATAAATGGCTCTATCCTTCTGAGGTCAGGAAATTGTAAGAAAAATGCTTCCTGGAGATTGACATGAACAATGAGCAAGGTATAAGGAAAGAGAGACTGACGAATGTTTTAGGATGCAGTTTTTAAACATCTTTTACTGTTGTGTGTGAATGTAGACTTGTCTTGCCCAATCTTAGTTCTTTCTTTTGGAAAAAAAGAGGGCATCTGCATTTTTCCCAATTTGGCTAGTGTTCCTTGTATATACTTGTTTTCAGAAGTGTTTGAAGGAGAAGGGAGTGTTAGTTATGGGTCTTTTGAGAACATTAGGAAGGGATAAATGGCTCTATCCTTCTGAGGTCAGGAAATTGTAAGAAAAATACTTCCTGGAGATTGACATGAACAATGAGCAAGGTATAAGGAAAGAGAGAGACTGATGAATGTTTTAGGATGCAATTTTTAAACATCTTTTACTGTTGTGTGTGAATGTAGACTTCTAGACCCTACATAAGCTGATATGGTATTGTTTTTTCCTTGCAGGGATTTGAATTGATTTGCCTTGAAGAAAAACCCAGAATAAAACAAGACGTGATTTATAGGGCTTTATGTCTCCTACCATGATATCACTTTTTAAAATTGTCACAACCTCACTCCAAATGACCAATGACCTTATTCTTTACATAAATGTAGAAAGTAACTTAAAAATAAAATAACACTTTGTAGAGAGGAGGGCTGTGGTGCGTAGGAATGGGTGCCTGAAGAAGTGGTGGAATCTGGTGACCTCTAAGATTAGGCCCAGCACTCCCTGGGTGGTTAAAATACTGTCCTGGTCTGGAAGCAGGAGGGAGAGTGCAACACAGGGAGAGGGCATCACAGCTCAGCAGTGGTAGAAGCTGCATGCTGCTTTCTCAGAAGCAAGTAGAGCCAGTTTAGTTCTTTTGGAGAGAAATTTGCTTCTAGCCACATCCTGCGCTCTAGGCCTTCCCCCCTCTCCCTCCCTTTCTGGCTTTTGTATGTGGAATTTAAACACTCTGTTGAGGCAGTTTGTCACACTTCTGAAATGAATCTGACATTCTTCTCTCCCTTAAGTTCTGATAAAACAAAACCTCAAACCAAAATACTTATTGAATGTATTTACATGCACAATTTCAAACCATCTCATTGTGCCCATTTTCAACAGAAAGAAACAGGCTTTTGGATGTTAAGCAAGATCATGTGGCAGAATCGGAAATCACATTTCACTCAGCCTGTATGACCCTTGCTCTTAACTGTTAAACTTTCCTGTTTTTCAATAACCAGAGCCCAGGCACAGAGAATAATGAGGTAGTTCTATGTAGTACTAAATTTTCTTCTAATTTTTATTTATTATCCTTGCATGAACATCCTATAAAATAACTTAACTTGTATCTCCTGCTTCCGCTGTAAACCAAGTGTTTCTGACATTTCTTGGAGAATGCCAGAGACTCCCGAAGTAAGTCTCTAGTCCCCACCTGCCCAGGATATAATTCTAGGCTGAAGAAAAATTTAAGACAGAGTTAAAGAGAAAGTATGGACTGGAACAGCCAATGCTCCTTTGGCAAAAGGCACTGACCTATCTCTTCTTGTATCTCCTGCTTCCGCTGTAAACCAAGTGTTTCTGACATTTCTTGGAGAATGCCAGAGACTCCCGAAGTAAGTCTCTAGTCCCCACCTGCCCAGGATATAATTCTAGGCTGAAGAAAAATTTAAGACAGAGTTAAAGAGAAAGTATGGACTGGAACAGCCAATGCTCCTTTGGCAAAAGGCACTGACCTATCTCTTCCACCGAATTTTATTATTCATCAGTCATGGTAAAAGGTAAGTATGTGTATATGTGTGCAATTCATGAAATTTCCATGGAAACCAAAGCATGCAGGGGTTTAAAGAGAAGAGTCAAAGCATTTTCAAGTTAGAAGCAAGACACACAAAATATATGGCTGTAATAAGGGCACTGTCCTTCAAGCCATGAAGGGACTAATTTAGTGGGAATAAAATTTGGGTCCTATTTACTCCGACCTCAGCTACAGATGTTATCTTGTATGAGCCCCACAGCTTCATAGGCCATTACTGTGGTCTCGGTCGTGTTTGTTAGTGGAGAGGTCATGTTAACCTGCACACTACCGTAGCGTTTATGAGATACTTTTGCAAGTCACGTAGCTTCAGTCAGACTTGCCGCTTAAAGGGAGCCAATCGGGGGATTTAACTCCTAGCAGCCTGCACTGCTTACAGCATGTTTTGGGCATAATCAGTATTGTCTGGCAGGGAGCTATTGATAGGCGCTTGATTGTCACTTATCATTTCTCATCTTGAATAGCAGCTAGCTATTTTCAAAGCTACAGTGCTCAAGGGGACACCTCGGGACTCATGCACATTCCAAGGTGTGCAGCTGACATTAGTTTAAGAAGTCAGAGTTCTGTAAGAATATCAGAGAGAAAGCACAACCCAGGGCAAGAATTTGTAAGCTTAGGGTCAGCTGCTGCTGTACTCAATATGCACGGCCCACACTGGTTACCTTTAGCCCTGACCCAGAGCCATCCTTAAGAGTTTCTTCTTCCCCTTTGCCTTCATCATAGTGTCTGCCCTAAGTCACATTTCTAAGGTTGTCAGAGAAAGATAGGCATCATTTCACTTAATGGGATCAGAGCCACATTTCCCCAATGGGCAGCCTTTCTATTCTTTTTATTTTTTTATTGCATTGGGGATTGAACTCAGGACCTTGTGCTTGCCAGTCAGGCGGCGGTGAAACCACTGAGCTAAATCCCCAGCCCCAGTCTAAAGTATTGCCTTTGCCTTCCTTCACCAAAATCCAATTACATGATAACAAAGAAGAGGGACTGTGAATGGAACTCTGAAAAGAACCAGCATTCACCGAATCAATGCCTGCCCTCACTCAAGGAGTTTACCCCGAAGATAAACTATAGCTTTAGAGCATGGGATACATAAGCTAAAAATAAAGATCTTTTAACGATTTTGACCTTTATTACCATGCTCCTTTTAAGGACTTATATTACTTTGAGAGTTTATCAGCAATATTCAAAACAAACATGTTTTAAATCATATATACATACCATAAGTCAGTATTTTATTTTAAAAAAAGCCCCAGTAATTTGTAGGCAAGACTAACAGAAAGCTTGAGGTTTTAATTTTCATTTCTTTGGTAAAGAGTGAAATCAATATTTTCTACATTTTGATATGATTTATCTCAAATTTTATAAAATTTCTACTTATTAATTAAACTGTTCATATTTTCCTGATGGATTCATACCTTTACTTTTCATTAGAGCATACAGAATAATGAGTTTCATCTTTACATATTAGTACTGGCTTGTAACATAGCTTGATTATTTTCATCTGATTGTGCCTTGCTTTTCTCTCCCTCCCCTTTGTTCCCATTCTATTCTCTAATATTTTACTTTCATGTTGTACTCTTCACCTCCTTTTACATTTAAAAATCACCATTTTGTTTTTGCTTCCAGTCAACAGATATTCAGAAGTAAGGTTCTATTTCTGATGGTCCTGTGTTCAGGGAGCTATAATAAAGATCTGATATTTGAATATTGGGAAGTTTCACAACAGATCGATGTACTTTTTCTTTTCAGATTCTGTCTCTGTAGAAGACTTGTCTCGACCCTTGTCCTTACAGTGAGCTATTTCCTGCACTTCCTTCAGTCTCAGGGGCTGCCTGTCCCAGGTTTGTCCCTTATTGAGAAAGCTCTTTCTCAATTTTAGCCCTCCCCCCATCTCCTTTCTGTCCCTGCTTTCCTAGTGCAGCAGCTCCTAACCAAGGAATCACAGGAAATACCTGCTTAGCTTATGAAACCTGAATGCTTTGTTGCTATCCTCCAGAAGCTTCTGACTCAGTAGGTCTGGGGTAGAATCCAACATCTACATGTAACGGAGGAGCCACGGTGGGCACCCAATTGACCCTTGGATGCCTGAAGCATGCTTCCTGGGTTGAAAAAGATGATGCCACTCGCTTTATAATTAGAATGCATCGAAGAGCTCTACTGTTCTTCACTTAAAGTTGAAAAGACTGAAATTCAGAAGAACTAATGAACTAGCCCAAGGTGGTATTGTTAGTAAACAACAGAGCCACAATTCAAATCCAGGCTTTATGATCCCAAATTCATGAGGGTTTTTAACATGATGATATGTCCTCTGTCAAAGAACTGTTGGGATAAATTAGAATCGGTGGTGGCTGGTGGCAAACTTAGGGCACATGTGCCACAGCTGGCTCTTGTTAACATTAAAAGCTCTTTAAGAGGTTTGCTGTCACCAAGTTAGATCCTTTTGGGTTGCATTTGATTATGCACAGTGGTAAGTAAGATGGAAGTATATTTCTTTATTTTATAACCAATTTTCTAACAACCCTTGTGACTTTTTGTGACTAAATCTGGGACATGAAACACAGAAAAAATTTTAAATGCAATAATGTGCAGGCAGGCCTCATTAAATTGTTTATTCTGGAATTTTAGTTGCAAAAGACATGCTCAAATTCATTAAACCTATATTTTTGATTTGTTGGGAAGAAAAATGTCATGTAATATTCCTTTTTAATATTACTGTGTAATAAAAGAGCTGATGTTTTGCCTTTGTTCTGCCCATCTTTCTTTGTTTCCATGTGAGAATCTTGTTAAGATAAATGATGGACTTATAATAAAAAAAGAACTTCATCATTCATCAGTATCTTAAGATGCAGTGAGATGAATAGATCAGTTATTGAGGATAGGCCAAGGAGATTTAAATCATCACTTTACATCCCTGAACTTACTTAATTATGGTTTTGGATGTGCTTCATGTAAATCATATTTCTCTGACCCTTTAAGAGTAAGAACTGCTACTGCTTTTGGATTCACTAGGGAGCTGTGTGTGTGTGTGTGTGTGTGTGTGTGTGTGTGCAGTTCTTAGCAAGTAGCATGAAGACAAAAACTTGATTTATCTTTCATTATTCCCAAGTAGTCTAATGTATATTTTGTTCTCTGAAATGTTCAGTAGCCTTTCAAAATAGATAAAGTAGAATTAATGGGAAATGTGAGATGTGGAGATAATGAACCATCCAATAAACTCTGATTTGAGTGTACTTTTGGTTTTGGAACTTTACCCATGAACAAAATTTAAATAAAGCTTGTTCCCAACTGAACCAGAGGAAAAAAATTGGAACTCTTATGCATTTCCATTTTGAAATAGGGAGAGTGATTAAAGAACAGTAAGTACTTTTTAGGTACAATATGGGCACTTTTAGACTGGGACCAGCAGTAGTCTGTCCAAAATCAAAGTAATTCTCATCATCTCCTTGATGTCAATATCTTCCTACATTATAAAAGTCAGTGCTGAGCTGGGATGCTCTAGGATCTGGGGATCCATAGCCATGTAAGAATATGGTTTCTAATCTATCTATTTATCAATCTAGAGATAGTTCATAAAAAATGCTAGTCTAGGGTTTCAGTATGGTCTAGGATTCCATAGAGATAGAGCACTCATCAGAAGGTTGAAGAAAATTGAAGTTCTGTTCAGAAAGTCTTTTCCTACACCCATTATGATTTCACATGGTTTGCCTATTTCATTTTCCAGTTAGTTCATTTTTCTATGCTT